TTTTATTCTTCACTTCTTCAGCTGCACCCCTCTTGTACATAAAGCATACATGAAGGCATATATGTACAAGCTAGTTCAGGGCTTTTCTGCGATTCATTCCTTCATTCATGACTAAAGTTTTTTCAATGAATAAATGTTTGTCACTTAAACTTCCCATCTCATAGAGAAATGGCTTTGCTTGATTAAGCAAGTTAGTGCTGCTCCTAAAGTTTAGAGAATGGCAGACTTTCCTCTAGTCTAGCTTGCATATGAAAACTCTGTTATCAAATCCAGTGGTAAAGTATTAGTGAAGTTTAACTCAGAAGGGTGGGGGGTGAGGGGGCACACATAACATGTCAGAAAAAATACCTGACAGTGAGTTCCTTATTGCTTTAAAACTCTTTTCAGAGAGATTACACTACCAGACTGCACTGCAATCACAAAGACACTACATGTGTTTCAACAAACAAAAAGCAGGATTTCCTTCGTCTCTGACGTACATGTAGTTGTATACTGCAAGCAAACACTGATGAAGTCTGTATTATCCACAGAAACTGTGTAAAGGGGAAGCTGGACAAGACTACAGAACTGGAACAGTGCTGCAAACTCACTGTGAGTCAGGTATTCCCTTCCAAAAGCTCAGCTATTTGTTGCATATTGCCCATACACTTTTGGTGGTTTTCTGCAGTCACTAATGCAAGTTTTCCTGAGTACTGCTAGCCTAGAGATTGAGCACTGTCTCCTCTATGAAACGACACAGGGTTCTCAAGTGTCATTAGCAGATGACAAATTCAAAACTAAGAAAATACAACATCCCATACCTGCTCAGCTGTGAAACTCTGCACACAAGCCCAGCCAGCTTCCATGGTCCATTTTCTCACACACCTCCACCATTCACAACTCTAAAAACAGTATAAATATGGCAATCACAAAGGAGAAAGTTCATCACCATCACCTGTTGTTCTTTACCAATCTGAGGTGAGATCACACATATCAAAAACATGTAATTCCTTAAGGCCTAGAGGCATGAACCATCATTTTCTAGCTAAAACCTTTTCATTCAGGCACACAAAAGGTTTTCTGAACCCTGTGTGTTATTTTGCTGCCTTTTTATCTCATACATTGGCAAGCATTTGCTTTAACATTACATTTGGTCACTTCTGGTACTTCAGAAAACAGGAGAGTCAGCTCTCACTGACTGATAAAAAACTGTGTCATTTTAGTTCCTGTTAGAGTCCACTATATTTTCAACATGCTCCAGGCAGAAGATGATGAAGTAATGGCAAAACTACCCAGATACAAAGACTGTAGTTCATATCCTCCTGCGTGCAAAAGACAGTTTTTCATGTTCTTTGGTGAAGAGAGTTTAATCTGTGATGTGTATTTTTTATTCAAATGAACACAACCACAAACACCACATTTACAGATCCAATTTTCTGTTACGTGCTAAATATTCATGCTAGTAAGTACAAATACGCCTCAGGTCTCAGCAGTAAAACCATGACAGTATCACTAGTCAGAATTATGGTTTCAATTACAGTAACACCCTTACAAGAAGCAATATAAAGGTGTATTTAAAAAACCCAAACAGCCACCAAACTATTGACTACAGATACCCTCCATTTCCTCTTGTCCATTAGCTTTAGCAGTAATGGCTAACACTGTGTGTCAGCAGCAGATGGACAATGCTATCAGAATTTTAGCAATTCTGTCCTGCAGTGGGATGGCAGAGGGCATCGTGCCATAGCATCAATCAGTATTTATACATGAGTGCTAGGATCTCACCATTTTAAACGCAGAACACTGTAGACCTTTTTGCTGTATTATTTTCAAGTAGTTTCTAGAAGATCATGAACCATAACCTTCCTGAAATAAAGGAATATTAGTACTCTTAAAGAACACATTGTTTCAGTATGTAATCTATTGTTCGCTAAACTATATACCCTTGCAAAGTGTGGTAGGGTTTTTTTGTTGTTGTTGATTTTGTAAGTCTAACTGGCAAAGTGGGGGGAAGGAACAGTTCGAACTTACCACCTTGGTTGAACCCAGCCTTTATTGCCCAAGAATTGCTCTACAATTAGTCAAACACACATTTTCCAAACATTCTCATCTTTTATGTGCTTACATACAGCAAAATTTTTCTAACCTAAACTTTTTTACATATATACCTCAGGAATCTTGATGGAGGAAGGGGGGGGGGTATTGGTTTAGTGATGATTCCAGCAGCTCTTCTCTGAAACAACCTGAAAAATTTCATCTCAGTTGTGACTAAGAAAATGGCCTTATAAGCTAGCTCAGTTAACACATGTGAATCAATTTTTAACTGAAAATATGTTTTATAGTACCATCTCACTCTTCTGCAAGCCGCTTAATAACCAGAGATGCAAATACCTATTGGAATATATATTTTTATTCCATAACCTTTAAGACTTTGGCTTTATGACTTTCAGTTGCTGTGACACAGTCCAGAGATAAAGTGATTAATTGCTACTCATGACAACAGCACAACTGTTTTAAACAGGTGGGTGAAATGATCTGGAAATACTGTTCATTGCTGGCATTAGATAATATTAAAGTCATCTAAAAAACAGCAGAAATGGCTAATCACTTAAACACTCTCTCATTCAGGTATATGGACTATTCCAACAAGAGGAGTTAAGACACTGCACATTTTTTAGCTAATCACTGAGCAAGCTAGAACTAAGAGGTTCAGGTATAAACTACTGAAATTCTCCCTGTCTGAAGTAAAACACAAACCAACTTCTCCGTTCTTCCTCTCCCCTTTCTGCCTGTCTTCAATGAAAAAGAGTTCTTAAGTTCATGTATCTTAGTTCAGATTTATTGTCACTGCTTTACATATTGGACTCTAACACCATCACTGCTGAACACAGAACCAAAAAAGACTTCTTCATTCAAGTTTAGAATTGAAAATAACAAGAAGATAGGGGCATGCCAGCGTTGTATCTTTTAAAGAATGAACTACTACTCTGCTCCCCACCCTTGAATTTGCAATTAAGGTGTTTCCCATAGGCCTACAGTTTGGTGCTCCTGCAGGGCTAACTATTGACCTAAATCAAGTGCCAAAATCATAAAGAATGGTGTTTTCTTATAAGCAGAAAATAAATGTTAGAATCTTAGAAGTTGTTGGGTTTGGTTTAGGTTGTTGGTTTTTTTTCAAATAAGCTTACTAAGTAAAAATACATATGCTATTCTTTGATTTATGAGTCAGGACATACTGATACCTAGCACTACCATAAACTACTTTGTTCACATGAAGATATGCTCATTCATGCTTACCTGCAAGTACAGACAAACACAACTTTCAGTAAGCAGCCATCAACATTTCAGTCTTTCAACAGTAAGTGCTCCTCAAAAACCAGTTTCACCTTTGGCCCCTTCTGTAGGGGCAGGACACAATAGCACATAATAGATGCCAGAAGAAAGACGAAATTGCTGTCTGTCTCATTAGCACTACTGGTACAGAACCGTTACACAATCCAGGTCCACCTATTCAGGCACTTCTCGTTATTTTCAAGTGGGATGCTCTAATGCCTTAGTGGTTCTAAATCTCCGTTGCTTACCTACTGTACAAAAAATTTATCTTATGCTATTGCTATCTTTTTCCCTGGAGTTAGTTCACAGCAGTGTGGAACAATGTCCATGGACAGAGAAATACTATGGAGACATGCTATGAACATGGAAGGAATGAAATAATAACCAGTAAAAACCTTAAGGATTTTCTCTGACGTGAAATAAGTGCAGCTAATATTTATTCTAGGTTTGCATGAGAGGAAGCAAAAATGTCAAGTGTATAGGCAATTTTTAAAGGGTGAAAAATAGGAAGCAAATATATCACCTGAAATAAGTAAAAAGTAATAAAACACTCCCACACAACCGCTTTTTTGCCCCCCCTACAAAGCAATTTTGTATTTGACCATTGCTGTGTAGCAGCATGTATGGTAGAGTAAGCAGGGGCACTCAAACTACTATGAAATACTTGGCTTTCTTTGCAGAATAGCAGCCAAAACAGGACAGCACACTGCAGGAACCTCAGATGAAACTGAACAGCCCACAACAACAGTTCTAGAGTAACAATCACCTTTCCCCTGCTGATTTCTCTTGTGGCTTTGCTTATATTGCATTTCGTAAGTGTGAAGGTAAGAAGTGCTCTGCATGAATCCTACAGGTATTGAAGGAAAATTTACTGGACTCACTAAGCCCAGGACATGCCTATTCAGCAATTGGATAAACTCCCTGCCCGAAGTATCCTTATGCAGCTGTGGGACATTCAAAGGCACTCAGAATAACTGTAGCTCTAAACATATACAGATACGTTTCTGGGCAGCCACAGAAACATAAAAAACCCACATTACACAGAAGCTTTGGAAACAATCTGTATGTTATCCTTCACTCTGTGCATAGATATGATGGCAGACTATTTATGACCAAAACAAACTGCACAGAACATTGATAAATTAATACAGTTCTACCACAGAAGAGGAACACCTGAAGTTCAGAATACTATTTAGACAGCTGCCAACAAGGCAAGAAACAACACTAACATGCTTCTAAGGTTTTTTGTTCAGATAAAAACTCTCTCAGTAACACTTCTGTCTATTTCAGGAAGTCCTTTATCTGTTAAGAAATAATCTCTTCAATAGGTTAGTTATCATGTGTTCTCCATTGTGAGAAATGTACAAAATTAATTTCATTCTTTTTCGTTCTTTATTCCCATGGCCCTGAGCTCCTCTATTGTGTATCTAAAAGAGTTTTGTTTGCTGTTTTGTTTATATTTCCCATGCTGTATGAAGTAATCCTTTTCTAGAAACAGTGAGGCATGAGCTAATGTATTTATTATCCCCAGTATCACTGTGTTTTCTTTGTGTTACATCCTTCAAGAAAAATCAGGTTATTTTCTCTCCCCAGGACACAGTCCAGTTTCCAGTGTTGGGCAACACAGTCAGAAACAGTGCCAGTTTTAAGAGTGGTTTAAAGGAAATTTTTTTAAACACCTTTACCAGCATCGTGCCGTTTATTTGCCTGTCTCTTCAGCAATCTGCATAAGGTGAGTAACGCCTTATACTTTATACCCCTATTTTGCTGTACTATACAAAATGTGATTTAGGAAATGCATTATACCTTATCAGCTGAGTTCAGCTTTTGTGTAAAACACCAGGTAATAAATAACATCCTGCTGACTATATGTCAATTATGACTATCTGCTTAAGCTTTCTTCAAAGCCATACTCACTGTTACTCCGCACAGTCCAGCTATTTTGCCTTGGATAAAAGCAGAAATCCTTCCACCCTCCAGTAAGATTTCCATAGAGGTCCAGAAACAGCAGAGCAATGAGCCTGCAACTGCAAGGTGATTAGCATTAAGCAGTGCTCAGTTACAAAATAGGAATTGGTATGCATGCTACAAAAATGATTGTGTTTTGATTTTTTACTTACTGTATGCTGCCTTTTCATGTTCTTTCTGAACCTTGTCCACATAGTGGCAGACCCAGAGGTATTGCATATAGTGCTTTCAAACCATTTGTCACAAACCACCAATGAAGTAGAACTCTAAAAAGAAAATTGACATCCAACAGTTTTCTCAAAGATTGACTTAATCTCTAATTAGTCATCAAAATGACCAAAGATGATGCTAGTGTGGTTTCAATATTAGTAGCTTCTGAAGATACCAGGACTGAGCCACATAATTCAGTTGAAATTCAATGAAATTCAACAAGCTGAAGTCTGTAAGTAGACAGTTTTCAACTTCAAAAAGCAAAACCTGCATAAGACCACATTCATCATGTTAGAGTTTTAGAGATAAAGCGTACACATAGAATACATACATATTTGTATAAGGTTTATTATATTTATTTTGAAACCCCAAGACTTCCTTGTTCACGCCCCCGCTCCCCCTGCCACAGAAAAGCAAGATGTGCCAAAAACTCCATACAAAAAGAACACCAAACTTTTGGTGTCTGAAGATATACAACAGGAAAGTTATGTTTTCCAAATGTTTGTCAGTAATTTTAATGCTATAAATCTTAAAATCATAAGCCAAATATGATTCTGTGATTTTGTAGATAAGTATCACAATACCAGCACAATCACTAAAAAAGAAGGTCTGAACAGCCAAGAAGATAGGAATCTAATTTCTTGTCAGCATAGTTCAAAGGAAGTATTGATTAACAAAAGAACAGTTCTTTTGGAAAATATCCACTTCTACTTGGCAAAAATAAGAAAATTCCCTATATGAACACACATGAAAAAAGTGGAATGCAGTTCTTCACAACAGAATACTATATTTTAACACAAGGCTCGTGCTTAACAGCAAATTATGTATAGAGTGTATTTAGGAACAATTTTGCTTAAGCAGCAGTCAGTGAGAGTATCACTAATTTTGTTTAATGATACTTTATTACATAACCAAAAATTACAGGAAGATCAGAGCCAACCCTAAGTATTTTTAGGTGGAGGCCTACAAAATAATTTTACAGGCCTCATGCCAGTAGGTACTTCTCACATAACTAATCCATATAACTTTGGAGAGAACCAGCAAGCTGATTCTCCATGGTTTTAGGTGACCTGTTATCTGTAAATCTGGATATTCATCTACATGTCTTATGATATAGTTAACATGTCAAAATCATCTTACAGCTGTAAAATATACTAGTGGACACTGAGAAGACTAGAGCCATCAACCTCTCTATGCAAATATGTGGGAGAGGGAATAACAGAATGACAAAAGCAAGAAAAAAAAATCACATACAACCTTTTCGTTATTTAATTCACATACTTACTACTTACCTCTACACACTCTCTCCCTGCTATTAGTATAAAAGGATCCATTTACAAACAAAGGTTCATCTGCTGGGTTAACATGGCAGTGATTTTGTAAGGAGGCAGAGGGGGCCTCTGTGATGAGGCCAGAAGCTGGCCCAAGCCAGACATAAAAAGCTGAGCCAATCAGTGAAGTTGGAAGCTAGTAAGTGCCTCTGTGAAAATATGGTTCAGAAAGGGTTAAAAAAAAAAAAAAAAAAAGCTGCTCAGCAGTTGGCAGCATGGAGAAAGTATGAGAAACAATCTTGCAGACACCAAGGCTAGTGAAGAAGGTAGAGGGGTGGGGTGTGTGCCCTGAAGGAAGCTGCCACCAGCAGAGAGAGGGCCACACTGGAGCAGGCTTTCTGACAGAAACTGCTGCCTGTGGAGGACCCACACTGGTGCAGGTTTATCCTGAAGGACTGTAGCCTGTGGAGAGGACCCACACTGGAACGGTTTGTGAAAGAAAGTGCATCGCTTTCCAGTTACAATTATGCCTCATGCACATACTTCCTTCTATTTAAGGCTTTACTATCCAGATGACACACAAAAACCAAACAACCATCAGACACAAAGGTTAAATGAGAGTCATTGTGCTGTGAATATAAAATTCCTCCTGTTGAAACAAACATCCCGGAGAACACAGAAGTTAGCTGTGAGCTAGTAATGCCTACAAAGCAGTTAGCCAACATTGCAGAAACCACATCACAATGCATGCTATGCCCCCAAACAAATCAGCAGGAAATACAGCTCTCTTCTGAAAACTGAGATGATACTAAATACAAAAGCTGCAGAATGATAAAGAAAACAATGCCCTGATAGCTTAAAAGTGGTATTATAGCTTAGAGGTTGAGTCCTTCAAAATCCCTACAGGCTGGTCTGTAACAGACTGCACAGATTTTAACTTAAAAAAAAAAACAAAACTATCAAACTATTTGTGACCAAGAAGCTAAAACCAAAATTCTCAGCCCACCCAAACAATGGAGTGTAGCACACAAGATTTTTCTGTAGCATGTACAAGCCTGGTGTCAGATATCTCTTTGAACAGGTTAACAAAACTTACTACTTCCATATATTTCCTAAGAGTCGTTCTAAAGAAGCTGATCTATCTATATGAAAATCCTTTCCTTACACATTTTAGTAACTACCACTTCAAGCTGATTCCTCCAAGTGAGTTCTGTTTGTTCCTCTTTATTAATATTGCTTTCCCAGGGAAACCTCTGTTCCTTGTACAAGCTATCTGTATACAGGTAAACCCACTGAGACTATGAGCCTTGACATCACAATCTAAATTTCTACCAGGTGCTTCACCACGTGTGGCACCATCAGCAATCAATCACATAGGATTTTTTTTCCCCTTGGGGAAGCAAGCAGAATAGGTGGGGTTTTTTCCTACTCTCCAATGCATTTATCTGAACCACAACCTAAAAATTGTGCAATTAGGCAAGTAGGTAACAGGTGACCTTGTGATGATTCTTTTCATCCCTTAACAGGAAAGCTAAAAAAGCAGGAACTTCTGACTTGATATAGCTTATTAAAATGGAAGCAGGTACAAAAAGGCACTAGAAAGATGTGACACCTAGACTTATCAAAATTGTCTTAACTGAGAGTCTTCACACTGATGAAGAGCTCTCCATTCTGTGATATCAACAAGGGAATTCTGGAAATGAATAGAAACACCAGTCTGTCTTATGACAGCACAGTGATCTTTAAGACATGGCAACCACTGCCAAACCACCTGAACTCCTCTCTACGCCACTCCTTCGCCATTTCAAATATAAACAACTTTAGAGGGTTGTGGCCTGTTGTATGTTTCTGCAAAAAGCATACTACAAGAATCTTACATTATGTAACTTCTCACAGATAGTGTTCTGCAAGATTATTATCTAAATATGATTAAATCCTCCTCCTCTTACATTGTAATCTACTGTCATATCTCCAGGCTACTGATCTCTTTATGTAAGTGATCAAGTGGCTGCTGGTCACCCTGTAGACAACGCTTGTACTCTAGTATTCTTAGCATAGGACAGTTGTTTTACACTCACTTTTAAACAGGGTCAGTCACTTTTGTATTCACTGAGACATGTATCATCATTAAACAAAGTCAAAGTCAATGATCTGAGCCCACAGTTTAAAGTGAAGTATTTTGAAAGTTAGCTATACATAAGAATATCAATATTAACAATTTTTAATCCCTCTTTAGTATGAAAACAAGTTCTCAAGTCTTGGACTTTACCAACAAAATATTATTTTGTGTAGGCTAACATTTCTCTCATGGAAAAAAAGCAGCTTTGCAGAAAGCATGCTGTTAATTATGTTTCATTTAATTCGATTTTCATGTGTCTTAAAGATTAAGTTACTTCATCATGAATACGCAACAGAAAAAAACCCAGCTTTGGTGAGATGTTAGCATCTGTATTCTGTTACATAACAAATATCAACTATTTATCTAAGCTGTCACTAAGGACACAAATTCACTTTCATAAAGGTTTTTAGATGTACGTATCTTATCTGTAATACATACTATTCATATCAGACAAGTTAGATACCAAGCTTCACAGAAATTGTAAAGTTTGCAATCATAACCACAGCTCATCTGGTGTGGTTACACAGCAGACCTGCTTAGCAGAGAACAAAGATGTTGACCTGTGTTGATCATGTGGATTACTACTTGCTCTTAAGAGAATGCATAAAGAATAATACCAAATCACAGGAAAAACTGGTGTGCCAAATAACAAAAAAGTCATTCAGAGAGGGTTGGTCACTACATATAGTGTGATCAACTTAGTGATCAACTGATAACTATTATGGAAGTTTTTCAAATTTTCAGCTAAGTGTTTAGCTGGACATTTACATTTCATACTCTCCAAAGGAGACAGTTTTAAAAATTCACCCTGAAAGTAGGCAAGGAAGATACTTTAGTCAGTAGAGATATAAGCACTTCAGACTACTTGGGTTTGCTGCACTTTTTAAAACTTGAGATAAGAGCCTATACATGAAGAGCTACATACCACAGAGTAGACGAACTGTGGCCTATGGCCACGCTGCTAACCACAGAAACCTTCAAAAGCTTCAAGTTTCTTGCACTGAACAAGTTCAAGATGTTAATGCTAAGCTACAAATTTCTTCCAAAGAAGTTTCATATCGATGAACCTGTGACTAAATTTACAGAATGTTGACAAATTAATCCAAAGTAATCTCTTTCCTTACCCAGCATTGGGCTTTCCTTGAAAAAACATTTACTATCAGATGAAGTTATCAACAAAGATAACTTTTCCAAAAATAATTTTCCATGTGGCTGATATTCATCAATGTGTATGACAGCATTTTCAAGCGATGCATTACTCCTACAACCTATTCTCTATCTGTCCATGCATGTGACTTCAGCCATTGGCCAGCATAAAATGAAATACAGCAGCAATTTGCTGTCATTTCACACACTGTTTTGGGGTGATTTTGGGGGGTTTCAGGGGTTTTTTTTAGCTTTTGGCACTGTTCAGAGACGGAATACACTGTTGGCTTTAAGAGTATAGCTGAGAACTCTGAAAATACATTTTTCAAGTCTTGGGTTAGACTTAGAAATTGTTGACTCTTAACAAAGAATTATGGATGGTAAAAATGTGATTAAAGAGTTACAGTTTCTTTCCAATTTCCTGAAAAACACCTTTGGGAAAAATACCACTGCATTTCTGAATCACACCACCATAATTTTTGAAAAAGTACTCAAAAATGCACATAACTGGAAATAACTATAGCCCATTTAAGAGCTCTCATGTGGAGTCATCATGTTCTCAGCATTTCCTGTGGGATTAAGAATCTGAGGATCTCTTCCACCACACTGTTATGAGGCACAACACATACAGAACAGCTAGAACCTTAAAGTAGAAACGATTGTTTATGATGCTATACAATATGTAAAATATGCTCTTGGTTTCCTAGTCCACAAGGAGTGGCTGAATGAAAGAGGGTATCTGTGTACTGAAATCAGAGTAGAGGATCAATATAAAGACATTGCTTTAGAAAAAGAAAATCCCAAGACTACAAGAACTTGCCGTCCCCCCATACAATACTGCAAAGATACAGTCTAGCAGAGGTGACCTGAATGGGAGGAGCTGCTTGGAAGTGCAGCAGATGCACTGAGAGGATTATCATTGTCCTATTCCAAGAGTTTCTTGGAAAGTACCTTTCCTCAGGTGCTTTGAAATTGTTCAGGTGAACAAACTCTCTAGTGCAAGCTGAACATACCTTAGAAATAAATTTCAGGAGCGAAGTACACATATAAATGGGATTAATGTCTTCCTCGCACCGAGAAAGCAGCTGGCCCATCTAGCATCTTGTTTACATTCCCAAGCCATTTTTCCCCGTGTTTCTCCCAAGCACATTCACTTTGGTACTCAGCACAAGCGAACTGACATCTGTGCATATGGGAAATACTGTATGTATCACATCATTGCCTTTCATAATGCCCATTAGAATTTCTGGACCACAGATGTCTAAGACAATTATTTACCAAATTGGGTAAAGCTAATAATTCAACAAATAATCTTTGTTTTGAAATTGGGGAAGTAACTGCTGCTGTTTTCTAGAACCCGTGCAGAGCTACACTTACATCAACTGTCCTCAGTCCAGCTACAGGTTCTGTGAGTTTGGTTCCTTGATGCATCTGGAGAAAGAAAAAAAAAATTTAAAAGAAATACACCTTGGTTTGCATAATCTTAGAAATTTTGACTCATCATTGAAACTGGCCCTTTTTTACAAACATGGTACCAAATACCATGTTTTGTTCAAACTACAAAGTGGCTTGGGATGACTGCAAAACCTTGGGGACATTATTTTGTTCATCACAGCACAAGGCGTATTTTAGTCACTCACAGTTATCCCTCTTTTTCTATTAAGTGATACTTACTCAGCCAGGATGTCCGTATAGGGGCATGCAGGAGGACCTGACGCTCTCCACCAATATTCTCTCACTCCTTGCTTTAAGCGGACACTTTGTGGCAAATTATTTCTAAACCACAGCCTCTATCTTCACCCGCTGCTTCCACTGTAGAAGCAGAGATTCCACTTCACCCAGCTGTCCAACATCGTTTGCAATAATCCTTCACTAAAGCTCAAAATGCTCCAGGCCAGCAGAAAGCTTGTTGCGGCTGGGCTTCTAGGCTACAGCACTACGGCCACCACTCCCTTGACCTGTAAGTTGGAATGATCAGAACACTGGAAAAGCAGGTTAGATCCCAAAGTCATCTAGTAAAGTCTTTTTTTAAAAGCGTGTTTCACGGGGTTGGCATTCTAAAGGAATTTTCCTTGCATTACGCACTGGACAGGGGTAAGATAAAACACCTTCTTTTAAACAGACATACAAGATACACAACCACCTCCAGCGCTGATAAAACCAAACGCAATCACGCCACGGGGAAGGAGGAGACTTCCTTTTATTCACCTGTTATTCACCTGCGGCTAAGCAGAGATCGCCCTGCCACTCTTTTACCACTACCCAGGAAGCAGGCACCCAGGCTGTCAGGTTACTCTTCGCTCGGCACCGGCTCCGGCGCCCTCAGTAAAGTCCACCTAAGAGGCAAGACCAGAGCCACCGAGGCAAGGCAGCCGCGGGC